GTCTTCTAGAGGTACTGTCTCAAAAGTAATGAATGCATTTTAAAGAGAAGGAAAAACATCTTCAGCAAAGCGCAGGTCTTGCCAAAAGTTGAAGTTGTCTGATAAAGATCATCGGTATATACTCAAATCATACTATTAACTTATGACTTAAAGAATATTAACATATACTTAAGTCATAGGGTAAATGCGGTATATTCCGACATTGTGGGTAATTCTGTCACCTCTCTAGTTTTTCCTTTATATTAAGCTTTGTTTTAGTTCCATGCGTTCGTTGATGGTTGAAATGGTGATGTCATACATTTGCGCGTCAAAGCTGTGTACAAAAATTAAAATTTGCTTAATTAAAAGCTTAATAGTTGTTAATTAAAAGCGTAATTAAGTAGTGTTCAATATTCATTAGTGTTCTAATTCAAAGCCATGTTGTATTCCAATACAGCTCACACAGCGAACGGAATTCGAACACGTGGATGACGGCATTATGTATCAGTAGAATTTGAAGCGCAGACGGAATACGCCTCACCACGTGCCGAATATAGCCACACACAGTGACGGAATATAGGGATTTGGTAGGTTTGCATTCTTAAGGCTTTTAAATAAATATGGCAACATTTTGTGACGTTTCGTCGTTGTGTTTTGAGAGTTGTCTTTTGAGAGTCGTTGTGTTTTGTTGTGTGTTTTGAGAGTCGTTGTGTCGGTGTTTTGAGAGTCACATAAAGCAAACAGAACTTGAGTACCGTAAAATGGGGTAACTTAGACCACTTTTATTTTTATAAATGATGCCATTTTTTTACTAGCTAAATTAAACTTGAATTGAAACATGCAAAATACAGGTCTATACTCTAGCTTCACTCACCATAAATTGCTGGCTCCTGCCTCTCATAGTCTTTATGTAATTTCAAAAAAAGTGGTGGTCTTTGTTACCCCAGCTCCTGGGGTAACTTAGACCGGGTGGTAAAATCAATTATATTTTTTTGTAAAATAACTCCAAATAACTCCAGGTTTTGGTGCATTGTAGTAGAACTCTTCTAGTTACATATGCAAATGACAAACTTGAGGTAAGTGTCATAGTTTGCAAATGGGGGGTGCTGCCCCATAATGAGGGAAATGTGACTACCTAATGTCAGCCCTGATGGGGTAATATTGACTGGCTTGGAAATTAAGTTACAATTACCATATATAAGACTCTGTAGAGTCTGAAACATAAAGAAAAAACATAAATAGGCTGTCAAACATAAAATATGTTATATATGGTAATTTTATATTAACTTCCAAGCCGGTCTATGTAAGGGCTGACATTATGTGGTCTAAGTTACCCCATTTGGGGGCGGCACCCTCATGAAACTATGACACTTTCCTAAATTTGTCATTTGCATACGTACCTATGTAACTAGAAGAGTTCTACTACAATGCATCAAAACCTGGAGTTATTTAACCAAAAAATAAAAAAATTGGAGGGGGTACTCTGACAGGCTTTAAATAATAGTTTTTTTTCGTGAGTCACATTTTTAATTTTTTAACCTATTAGATATGCAAACTTTTCAAATCTTTCTATTGTGTTATGTAGCCTCAGTATTAGGCCTTTAATGCCCATTGACAAAAATTTTCTATGTCAAATAGTTTTTGAGTTGTGGGGGTTTTTGTTAAAAAAAACGAAAAGTGGTCTAAGTTACCCCGCCGGTCTAAGTTACCCCATTTTACGGTAACGCATACGGTTATTATTTATAGTTTTTCATTTCTCGATGCATCCTTAATGTGACGGAACGGAATATACTGCGTTTACCCTACTTTGCCCGCTAGATTTACGCAAAACACTAGGATTGGGCCATCTGGCAGGAAAATGTTAAGCATGGTGACAAACAAATTTTTTGCCTGACTCATTTTCAGACGCGTTCATAAATTTGTAATTTACGTTCACTTTTTGTTATTTTACTACACTGGGCCCGATATGGCATGTATTAAGTATTTTCAAAGTTTGTTATGTTTGAATGTTCTTTTGATTTGATTAATGTTTTGTATCACAGGTTCACAATGGTAACCGCAATGGCTTCCGATTGCTGTTGCCACAACGAGATCAAGAAGTAAACAACACCCCCGTTCCAAAGAATACCAGCTGTTACATGTTAGATTGGGATTCAGTCACTAGAATAAGGTAAACAGGTTTGTTCAAATTTTGGTTAATTCAAATTTTAGCAATTATTTTCAGATGACAAGACATTTTTTACAGANAGGGCATTGTGAGTGAATAATTTCGTTTTTAATTTGGTAATTATCACTTAGTTTCGATTTCATAAACTTATGCGTGGAAAAAGTGCTATGAAACTTAGTTCTGTAAATTTGTTTTAAAATATCATACACGGTGTCGAATCGATATGTCAATTGCAAAAAAATCCCTCAACAAAGAGTTTGCTCTAAATTAGGAATTGAATTGAAAACAAAATCCAGAGTAGAGCGGATGCGGATTAGAAAGGAATGAACGTCTTCGGCTCTCCGCTATGACAAACTAGAGCATCTTTTTCAAAAGCATTGAACGAACTCAACTTCTAAATCTGATCTTAGAACGTGAAGTTTTGAACAAGTGTTGTTGTTGCCAGATGTATGTGAACTGGCGCCACGTGTGGTTGTCGATGCCTGCGCTGCCAGTACCAAACTTGCATTGTCATCTCAGCAGAGCAGAACCTACTAACATTGGAGACAGAGATATGAAAAAACTAATTTTTTAAAATGTAAATTTATTTGTAAACTGAGTTATATTTTGACTGTTTACCATTGGCGTTCATAAAATTGTGATGCAATGCATATGCTTAATTTGCATTCAGAAATTGTACGTTTACCCTAGAAAAAAAATATGTTCTCGATTGCCACTATGATGTTAAGATCCTCAGTGCGACAGTCGCACGTCACCCAGTGAGAACATCAAAACATGTGTCAAATCTGATAGTTGACCTTGCTCTACCAAATAGTGATAAAGTGTTTGTGTAGAAAGAATATTATGGTTTAGACAGTGAGACTTTTAAATAAGTCTGTGAATATACTAGGAATCCTTTAAGTATACTTGTACTTGCTGATTTTAAGTGGTAAATAAATTAAAAGATTATTAAGTTAAGAGACAGTTTTAGAAACATAAAAACTAATTCCGACACAGCTTGGAATTGGACACACACAGCAGTGCAACTGTTTAAAATGTTTCTTAAATCATTAACCAATCATTAATTTTTGCATCATATTTATCTATCTATATAATTAGGCTAATTGTCTGTCTAATTTATTCACGTATCAAATTATGAATTTTACATAGCCTACTTACTCTACTCATACTCAAATTTCTGGGATTTAAATCAAAAAGATAATGTAATTCAAATAAACAATAGGCTACAAAAGATCATCTTGAGTAAATAAGAAAATTAAAAATGAACAAATTCTAAAAAAATATCTGGTTTGTCAATATAAAAATCATTGCAGAAATTTTTGTAAAAAGTCATTCAAATTAAAGTCAAGGTAAATTTTCAGAGGCTTACAGGAACCTTGAAATAAACTCCAACTTCAATGTTATTGTTAGTTGTTACACATACTCTAAGTCTAAAAATCTCAGTGTCGTAGGCTAACAGTTCAGCATCAGCATTTTAGTAAACTACCTTCTTTAGAACCCAAATTCTTTTGCAAAGCATAATGTGCCAGCCGCCACGGTCGACTAGGAAAGAGGCTTCGTGGGAGTTTAGTTCTATTTTTACACTTTTATAATTCAAAACCATCAATCTGTAATTCTGTATATCAATTTTTCTAACATATAAACTAGTGGAGGATTACAGAAACAAATTCCATCGAATTACAATACAGAAATAATTATTCTTAAGTCTTAATATCAGCCAGTACTGGAGCCACAGCCAGTAAAGATAGAAAGATGTCGTCAATTGAACGACAACCAACACGCTACACTGCCATTCATTCACTGACGCAGCAATGCTCAATTCCTCATAAGTCATAACTCGTTTCCGCGTTTTCTGCAGCTTGCAAGAATTGCAACACGACAGGTTACCAGGAGGTGATCGTAAACCCTCTCTATTACAAGCTCATAGCTTATAATTGCGATGTATGCATTAAAGATAAGGACATCTGGCCTGTCACCGATTCTAAACATCACAGAATTTTTATCGGTCGATTCGGGTTTAGACCCAGACCTGTCAGAGGGAGGTGGGATCAAACCCGCAAGTCACTGCTCCAATTATCCCTTTACGCCCTGAATTTCTGGGATGAAAATCGTACAATTCACTTTTTCGGTTTTAAGTCTCACTTCAAAGCTGACATTCTGACCTATCCAACGGTACCAAAATCAAAAAATTCCCACGAACAAAAAAGTCTTAGATTTATCTTTTACATATGTGTACCAAGTTTCAAAGTTATCTGTCAGTAATTAACCGAAATAGAATTTCCATAAGAAATTGGACATTGCCATTGGAAATTGGAAATTTTATTTCGGTTACTTACCGACAGATAACTTTGAAATTTGGTACACATATGTAAAAAATAAATCTAAGACTTTTTTTATTCCTGTGAATTTTTCGAAAAAATGACAGAAAACGTGAAATTGTTGGAAAACCGATGTTTTTCTGTGTGACGAATTCGTCACGCCAGGGCGTAAAGGGTTATGGTTCTGAATTTTTAGCCCTTGGCCACCCTGCTGGAATATTTCATTGCTTAAGTAAAAACCCACTATCTCGTAAAATGAAATGCATCATTTTTGAAAATTAACAGATGCATTTGATATCATTACAAAATAGGCGATCGGAAGAGTGCAGGTTTATCAACAAACAACCAGACAAACCAGGTAGTAAGTTATAAACGTGAACAACAGAAACATGGCCGTGAACTCTCGATATTGCGTTCGTAGACAATTAGAATTTGAATAGACAGGCAAGAGCACGAGTAATTTTAACTCAGTAATAGTAGAATAAATTTCTTTAAATTTGTGTAATAAAAAAATCAGAGGGATAAATATATTCAAAGATAATAAATGCTTTACTATGCGCACATTGTTTTCATATCCATAAATTTTTCCTCAAATACTGAAATGGAAAGATAAGAAAATATAATTTCCGAAGCTATATGTCGGGAGATAATTACGGAAGAAACGGACACGATAGGCACAGACGAAACGGCATTACATAGCGCATTATTGCCTTGTTTCTCTGCAAGCTAAACATAACAATAAAAATTTCGCGCTGCGCTCAGGGGGGCGAGCCTAGAAGAGCGGGACAACATGTACGCAAGAATGGTTCGTAAAGAACGCATTCAGACGTTTATATTCACACACTCCAGATTAGAACAAACAAAACAAATAAATATTCATATTAGTTAGTCAACAACCTAGCAAAATTCTTAGCATAATAAACCACCATCACGGATATCAATTCTCCACACGCAGTTCATAGCAACGTTCAACTTCATTAACAAAAATTAGGCATCATCTCGTGGCGATTCTATCCTACAATCACAGTGATTATTCACTATATTCTCAGGAATTTCCATTTACATTCGAAGTAATTAGGAAAAACTTTACAGTAAATCCCTACCGGATTTTCATATTTAGTAGGTACTTCCCAGAAAATTGAACTAATAAACTCTGTTAATTTACTGCATTTCTTTGATTCACCGGAGATATCAATATTTTATTAGTGATTAGGCAGTAAACATGAGAATCAGGGAATTCGTTTCATGTATCAAATCCAATATAATTAGAATATAAATTACTGATCCAGGGCATACTAGAAATTTTGTTGTTTATTCTCTAATATAGAAAAATTTCATTTAGAGCATTATTTGTACATAACGCAGTAGTTATTCCATACCCTATGAACGGTGTTTACCGTGATATATTAAGGGTTAATTCAAAGCTCATGTGGTAATGTTGACAGTGGAAGACATTTCAATCACAGCAACGCGTCCCAAGCCGAACCAACCCACATACAAGCTCACAGTGACCGCTCTCAACTTAACAAGCATTAATATCAGGCAATAGTGAATTAATAATGAATAAATAAACTAGTTCGAACATCCGAGCTGACATGTCCTCAATTGATGTCAGAGACAAAATTGTTCATGTCAGAACAAGGAGGACAAACATTTACAAGAGAAATTAGCAAAAAAAGTAAAGCTTAGATTAATTCGTTAGTTACATGAGAAAAGTTGCTTCAGTATAATAGTTTTCCTGTTGATGTCATCAAAACAACGGTAAAATCGAACTTTGAAGCAGAGAGTCATATTTTACGAGCGCCTCGCAACGAACCATGCGGTATCTTCAGCCCACCAAAAAATTCGTTAGCCTGATGACAGGTTTCGATGGTGACAAACATTCTTGAATTCACAAACGAGTTGTCATTGATTACCAACACACAAGATCTCAAATGGCCAACGCGTTGAATGTTGAAGTTTGTAATTCCGTCACATCTACCAATCAGACGGAATTGCATCACATCTACCAATGTTCCGTGCTATATCTACCAATCAGAGACGAGAAATCGGGAGCTACGTGTAGTTAGGCTGCTAAATGTTCCTATGCGAGTTTCGATTTGAAAGACTCAGAGCGAGTTTTGATTTACAGACTTCCCTTCAAGCATGAAGCTAAAACTAAATGTGGTGCAAAAATACTAACTAAGAAGTCACCCTGACTTAGATGGCTGGTAGAAAAGCATCATGGACGCTAAATCGACGAAATTCGGCACTCGCCTACCACAAATTCAAAGAACATTTAAGCATGAGCAAGCAACCGGTTGACCCAAATAACTTAGTGATAAATCCCAACACTGATCAAATAAACACAGAAGAAACGAGGAAGAACCTTAAAGATATAAGAAAACATTCTTGCAACGTTCACAGCACAACCTTGTTAATTTAGAATTCATTTTGCATTGGATTTTCAAATGAAATAGAAACGATTATTTAGAGAGCAAAATATTAATAGTAAAACTAATCGCATCTGATAAGACAATGCAAGCAATTCTCGGCAAAGAAATTATTACCCTCTAAAAATTCTGTACAGTTTTGTGTTACACCGGAAATTTGTACCATTTAACAATGAACGGCAATAAAGAAATAATGATTATTGGATGAATAAGTAGCATGTAATAAGAAAATAGAAAGAATTAAAAAACTGTAGCAGATTCACCTTGAACAGGAAACATTGAAGTAACTAACTAATGAGAATAATAAGGCACTTGCAAGCAATCAACGGCACTGAAAGGCACCAACTCGATATAGAATTTAGTATCGGTGATACTCCCATATGGCATCCGATATGAGCTGCCCCGTACACCTCCCATAAACGACCTAGGTATCCTCACTAGCCGGAACTGATATAATTCCGGAATGACACAGATATCCTGATCAGCAAGTCCGTAGTTCACTCCTGAACGGCCCACAAACACGCCCACTAGCAGGTCCATAGTTCACGTCTGAAGGGCCCACACACACGCCCACTAGCAGGTCCATAGTTCACGTCTGAAGGGCCCACACACACGCCCACTAGCAGGTCCATAGTTCACTCCTGAACGGCCCACACACACGCCCACTAGCAGGTCCATAGTTCACTCCTGAACGGCCCACACACGCGCCCACATCGCCATCAGCAGGTCCAGGTCTGCAGGGCGGGCAGCCCAGGTCTCTCATAGACGCACTGGCCAGCGATGAAGGTGCGCATTACGTCGACGTTGCCAAGCGTGTCGCCGTCGTCGCCCAGCATGACGAAGTCGGCATCAGCGCCGGCGACAAGGCTGCCCTTCGTCGTCGCCAGGCCCAGCAGCCGGGCCGGGTGCTCTGTCGCCGCTCTCACACCTTCCTCGAGGCTCACACCCGCAGCCTAGAAGTAAAATAAATGAATAACAAAAGAGAAATAAATGTTTTTCCGGAGCAATAATTGTTTTAAAAAATGTTTTCTGAATACCAAATGAAATGTTAAGAGCTAAATGCCTAATCACTCGACGGATGTCGATAAAAATTTAATGCAAATACAGGACGGGAGTATCTTCTTGCAAGTGAATAAATAACTTGAACATTTTTTTCATATAGAACTAATTAAATCTAGCACGTGGTGGTTATTATCTGCACTAGCGGAAATAAAGCACCGAAGCATTGTTTGTAGAACGCACAACATGTTAGTCTTCAGAGAGCAGTGAAGACGCTGTCATGTTATTGCTGTTGTTGTTCGACACAACAAAAACTAATGCCAAAACGAGGTATCTGTCGGCAATGGTTTCGGACGAATATAAACAAGTTTACACTATTTTTTGCGTGGTAAGCATCAGTAAGCAGTAACGCTAAGTATCATCAGTACAGACAGGCAGGATTCAGCAGCACCTTGATGAAGCGCCTGATACACTCGTCCATGGTGGCAGTAACGCTACGTATCATCAGTACAGACAGACAGGATGCAGCAGCACCTTGATGAAGCGCCTGATACACTCGTCCATGGTGGCAATGCTGCCGGCCAGCGTGTCGGTGCCGGGCAGGAAGGCGCGGCGGCCCCGCACCTCCACCGCCAGCTGCCCGATGTTGTGCTCGCCCTCTCCCAGCCCCAGCGCTGCCATCGCGTCCGTGATCAACACCAAACCTGTAAATATAACTCGAAATTTTAAAAACTTACCCTACGATAAAAACAATTTATAAAAAGAAATCACACTGACGATGATTAATACAAAGCATAGAAAAATGAAAGTCCGAATACATTTAAAAATATACCATAATGAAAATTACTGCAGTTATATCATCTCCAAGAACATTAGCATTCAGAAAAATGAAGCTAAGTAATGCATTTAAAATGGGCAACGAGATCTATATATATAATCATAAATTCAAAATCATGTTAAAAAACCAAATTAATTATTTATATGGACCATAAAAATATAATTATAGTATAAGAAAATCATCAATGATCATGGAAGTGAAATCAAATACAAAATTCAACTCAAATGAATGTTAACTTGTTACAAAAAACATCATTTAGAATCATTCTTAAAGTTTCCTAATGCTCTAGTGAAAGGCCAATAAAAATGCCACCTCAGCCAACCCAGAGACTAGCCCTGAAACGTAAAAAACCGTATAAAATAGCAGGTAAACCAATGAGTGCGGAAATAGGGAGAAGCTTCCTGCCTCGTCACGCGAGCGAGCTACCTGCGAGCACTTTTCTGTACAGCAAAGCAACTGCATTCCTGTACGACCTTTAGATCTTGACAAAATCGTATGGGAGAAGAATTTGGTATTGAAGTTGATGATGCACAGAAATGTGGGGATGGTTGAAGCCATGTTTGCATCTTCTGAACTGCACTCACCACCAGGGTGGGTGCGGAGGGCTGCACTCACCACCAGGGTGGGTGCGGAGGGCTGCACTCACCACCAGGGTGGATGCGGAGGGCTGCACTCACCACCAGGGTGGGTGCGGAGGGCTGTACTCACCATCAGGGTGGGTGCGGTGGGCTGCACTCACCACCAGGGTGGGTGTGGTGGGCTGCACTCACCACCAGGGTGGGTGCGGTGGGCTATCCTGAGGGCAGCAGGGTGGGTGTGCACTCCATCAGATATGATGCCGTAGTACACGGGACGAGGTACCACCTTGCTAGTGAGCAGTCCCACTAGGCCAGGGTCTCGGTGATGGAACTGACAGTCAAAACTTTTTTATTAGTTTTCCATAATAACTACAGCGGTCTGTCCTGTTTCATTGACAGTCTAAATCTTTGAAATATAGAAAGCAGCATTAATGCAGTTCAAACTCTTAACAATTTTCTCAGCTTTCTTGACAGAAGGAAATGATCTTGCATGAAGAGCCGTATCAAAATAGTTTTTTATTCACACTTGCCAGCATTAACAACTATCATTTGCTTTGGCTCATCATTTTGTTTCAATATCTGTGAAAGTGAAACAAAAAGTATAAGTGTGAAAGTAATTAGAAGTAAACAAGTTATTAAATTTTCTAGTACAGATTAACTCTGGTGTGCTTGGCTCAGAATTTTGTTTCAATATTTGCGAAAGTGAAACAAAAAGTATAAGTGTGAAAGTAACTTTGAAGTACCTAAACAAAATATTCAATTTTCTAGTACAGAATAACTGTGATGATCAGTTGAGTTGACACACCGGCAGCATGGCATTAAAAAGATGCGTGATGAATGAAGCGCCAGCCACCACCGCTGCTTCTCCCTGCTCCAGGCTGCCACTCGAATGACCTGCAAGCAGTTGCATTAAAGTTGGGAATCATTGCAAACTGAGAAATAGCAAATAAATATTCATTTATTAACATAAACGTTAGTTACTTAAAAAAAATTCATCAACAATAGTTAACTAGACAAACTACAAACAGAAGAATAACAGAATTGTATATGAACAAGCATAACCGTATCAAGACTTCAAGAGCTTGAAAATCATGGGAAACTACAATACACTGGCTCCAACCGCCTTCCTTCATAACAAAAATTTGCACTTAATTTATTTGGAACATGAAATTAATTCCTTCATTCTGGGTGTTTGCATTGAAAAATTTCTATGAAGAATCAATCATCAGTGAGGCTCAATGATTGCAGCTTTCAAAGTAATAAGCGAAAAATCAAGAGCAACAGAGACATGCGTTCTTGCGACAACTGGAAGCAAGCCTGGCGACGGGCACAAACTAAAGCCATTGTTACTTTTGGCAGTAAAGTTTGTCTTCAAAATGAGTAACTTGCTGGAAAATGGAAATAATACAAATGTCATCCAGTTATAATTTTGAAGTTTCCATTTTAGAGTGTGTTCAATACACTGGTACCATTAATGACTCGAAAGCACTAATGAGTTGTTTGCATGGAATTGAAGTAAATTATTCGCAATCCACGGCAATTAAAAGTTCTCTCTTGAAATGTCATGAGATGGTTTGTTTTGTCATTAACTTTACATTTACATTATTTATAAGAATCTCCTTATTTACCAACCCCAGAGGTGAAAGGGAATTAAGATTAAATTTAATTTACCAAACCCTAAGGTGCCTGAGGTGCAAGGGATTCAAGATTAAATTTAATTTACCAACCCCTAAGGTGCCTGAGGTGCAAGGGATTCAAGATTAAATTTAATTTACCAACCCCTAAGGTGCCTGAGGTGCAAGGGATTCAAGATTACATTACTGCTAAATAAAAGCCAAGTCTCATAGACATTGACGGCTCACCGACAGACACAACAACGCGACGCTGGGCGAGGAACTCAACGGCCTGCTCAGCTCCAGGCAGCTCAGGGGCGAGAGTTATCATGGCCACGTGCTCCAGCGACCCGTACACCTCCTCCAGCACTCCAGGGCCCTGAAATACCATCTTATCTTTCATATTGATCTTACTTCTGTTTATCATCACTGAACAAGAGGAAATTATCTCAAAGTATCTCCAAACATAACTGAATTTAGGCTGTAGTAGCAATATATCATCAGGTATAAAGAAAATGTTGCTAATTTTAAAAACTTGTTACAAAAAACGTATTTTTAACACAAAAACAAATCAAACTAATAAGTGTGCATAAAATGAAAGGCCTTACATGTCTTTTTTTTGAGCGAGTTTGTTCAATAGAATTATGCTGTATTTTTATAGATTGCAATAGATAACATAATAAATAAAAGTTAAGCTTCACAACAACTATGGAGATGAATAAAATTTCAGTCAGGAATAAAGTTTAGGTCTTGAATAAAGTTCACAATGGAGATGAATAAAATTTCAGTCAGGAATAAAGTTTAGGTCTTGAATAAAGTTCACAATAGAGATGAATAAAATTCCAGTCAGAAATAAAGTTTAGATATAGAATAAAGTTGAGAAATGAATGAGGCAGACCTTGGCAAAAGTGAGCATGTGTTCAGGAGGATGAGCACCTTTCTTCTCAGGGTTGATGAAGGGACCTTCAACGTGAGCCCCCAGGACAGCTGCGCCTGCTCTGCTGCCTGGTCTACGGCTCAGCTGCGGCAACACCTGCATGAAATATTGTAATAAATATACATCAAGTTCTATATCATAACAAATTCAACATTCAAAAGAATGCCCTGCCACTGATTAGGTACTGCTGCTTCAATAGGATATGAATAGTTCAAAATTGTATTAAAAGGATGCAGAAAACAATTTTGTCACTATACTATTATTACAAATGCTATTATTATTGATATATTTACTAAATTGTCTATTATGCCTCCAGGAGCCTCCTTATAATAAAATTTTGGGCAATTCATTTTGCATGAAGACAGAGTAGCACTTCATTTAATATCATGTAAAACAAACTCTAGCATTAGAAAATACCACCTCAACTCCAAAGCAATAAATTAAAAACAATTCAAATAATGAATCATTAGAAATATACAAGAATATAATATCTAGCTTTTACATATACATTTGTGCATGTAAAAAAAAAAAAACAGAAAAAATTCTGGAGCACCGGAAAATTATTTCTTGCATTAGACCAAAAAAAAAATAGGATGAAAAGTATAACAATCATGCACTCAAAACAAATTCGTTGTTGTCTCCCCGTTGTCTCTCGCACTGGTGCGTGCGAGACAGCACTGGTGCGTGCGAGACAACACTGGTGCGTGCGAGACAACACTGGTGCGGGCGAGACAACACTGGTGCGGGCGAGACAACACTGGTGCGGGCGAGACAGCACTGGTGCAGGGGAGACAAAGAATACTGCAAAAACGTCAAGCGGCAAAAGGCTCTTCGATGTCAAGTCTTTTCACTGATGTGCGTAAAATGGCGCCGCATAATATACATGTGTTCATTGTACCATTTCATTGTTCTAAGACAGGTCAGACAAGTGCTTTACACAACTTTTGAATTAGAATGAACTATCTGCAAATTAAAAATGTGAGTCACAGCTGCGGAAAAAAGTCACTCCAAGCACATCTTATTTCTGAGGAACTCACTTCAACTGAAACATGTTAACTTGCATTTTCGATGATACCGTAGGTAAATCTTGAATACTTGTTATATTAGTCATTGCTCATTCAGTCAAGTAACTGCAATGTATGCTGTACTGCAAACTACAGTCTCTGTAGTAGGGTATAGCATAATTACAAGTAAAAGTTTAAATTTTGATACTTTTCTGTAACCTCTCTTCTATGTGATGTGATCTTAAAAAAATAATAATGGCAATATATGCATATAGGTTTTGTGAAGAACATCGTCCTGCATCAATACAATAAAATAATTTCAGTATTTAAGTAAGCTGGAGTTGATTGTTTGAAAAACTGCATAAATTGAAAATAAAATTTAAAATTTGTCACCGGGCGCCTGCCGCAACTATTAAACTTGTCAGAATGATCAGAGCCCTTACGGCCAAACGCCGTTAACATCTTGTAAAAAGTTCAATTGCACTTTATTGCACTGGGATGTCCATTAAAACTTCGGTAACACAGATAAAACGTAGTTATATTTCTGCAAAGCACAGTTTAAAAAAAACAGGCACGGTTAAAAGTTAAACTAGAGTGACATCAGGTACATTATTGAGGAGCAGTTTAATTAATCTTTCACGGCACAGCCACGACTCAGCCTAAGAGCAAGGAATAGCTGAGAGTTGACAGAGCGGAGTGAGAACAGGTATGAACCTCACTGTAGGGCTAGCGGGACACAACTACCTGACTCACAGCCGCTCAGACATGCTTGCACTACGTCGCTACCGCCCAAGTAAGGTCTGACATAAATGTTACATAGGTGGCTATGCTAGATGTGGCATTCGGTATGCCCACAAGATAAAATGAACACAGCTAATAGTGAACTAAGTTCATCGTTCACAAATTGATCGCACATCATGTTTTATTTTGCTGCATATATCACAGAGTCTGCTGCTAGTTGTCAACATGTATGCCAGTGCAATGGTTGAGTAGTATGCATTGCACAGCTACAACACAGGCCTATACGGCTATACCTGCATTAAATTCCTGGGTTGCCACTGCGGCTAGGCGTATGATAGCCAGTCCTTACAAGCTATGCCGCAAACTCAGGTAAGTTTGCTCTAGAGTTTGGGTGGGTATTATCACCCGCCTTAAGAGGCCGGAGGCCCCTATTGATGTTTGCTTATTAACTAATTTCAGAAATTTTTATCACAAAATTTCATTCAGAAAATAACGAAATTACAGTAGAGGTAAAATCCCAGAAGATGGATGATTGTAATACATCATGTAATGATTCTGTATAGAATTGAAAAAAGTGAAAAATTTGGATCATCACAATCTAGACAGAAAATTTTGAAATTGCAAATGTAAGTTTGCATCTACAATCATCATAAAGAAGCTTTCACATTTCCCCTTCATAAGGTTAGATACAGAATCACTAGGTACCGTCAAACGGGGTATACCAATAATAAAGGGACAGTCCTCTAACATTTCGTAGAAATGCTGTAGCAGCTTAACTAATTAAAATATTGCAAAACCAAAAATAGTGCCATAAAGTTCAACACTTTTGCTATCTATGTAGAATAGAGCGGGTTAAGAAATCATACATTTACTACCTCTAAAAAATCCCTGAAAAAGGGTGAAAAGTTAGATTTTGGGAATGTACCTCTGCTAAGGTCTGTAGCAAAAAAAATATTAACCATATTAAAAAATTTTACTTGCATAAAGGATGCACACTAGTGTTGGCTTAAAAACACGATTAACAGAATTTGTGTGGCTCATTCAAAAAAAAAAATGATGGCCATTTCCACATGATGGGGTAACAAGGGACACCTCTAAAAATGCATTTACACTAGAACCTTGGTTAGCAAAGGCTCCAGTTAACAAATAAATCAATTAACAACAAAAAATTTCAATTACATTTACCTTGCTCAGCAAAAAAATTTTGCTTAACAAAAAATGCATCATTGGTCATCACAAAACTGTGCATGGAATGTCATAGATAGAATTGTTCACTGGGCAACATAGAATGAAAAGTATAATTAGGCTAAACTATGATTTTAATTTCTCAAAAAAATATGATGGTTGTCACAAAAATATTCCTTTCTGTTTCAGGTACCTACATTTGAAACAATCTTTTATTTGTTATAGTGAATGCACTTGATTCAATTAAAATTGTGCAAAATTACAAGCCATCCTGTAAGCATAGCTACAGAAGAAATACTACATTGCTGCTGATATGAAACTTGCAGTAAACAAGGTTGTTTTAAATGCACAATGGAATGTCCATGAATATGGTAATATGACATCAATAATATGGTAATGTATGGATAAGGTAATATCGTATCAATAAAGGAAAAATAAGTAAAAATCACAGAAAATGTCATTTATTCTACATCTACATCATCTACAGAGGAAGAGGAAGACTTCATAGTACTGTTAGTGTTAGTAATGAATGAGTAGTACACTCTGCATGCTTCAAACGTTTAAAAATAAATTTTATTTCAAGTATCCCTTATTACCCCATTCCCAGGGTTAGTTCAGGAGGCTTTTATTTTGCCTTTAGCATCTTAAAAATAGCATATGGAATTTTTTCAGAGATACCATATGATAGCCCTTGCAAATACCTTTTAAATGAGCCCAAACTTATTTATGAAATGTTTCATGGTAAGAAGTTGCTAGGGAAAAATGCTCAAAGCTGTCCGTTATTTCCGTGTTTGATAGTATATACATATATGAATAATAATACAGAAATTGAGAATTTTTGAAAACATATAATATAAGCCTAAGGCACATAATAAAAATTTTAAAAATTATGTAATAAACATTACTTTATACAGGTCTGAGAATCATAAATAACTGAATAAAATTCTAAAACCTTTTTGTAGAGCTCAGGAGGAGAAGTGACAAGCGTGGGGCAGAATGATGTGACGCCTGTGGACAAGAGCCCCTTGGAGACAACACTGACTGCCTCAGCCACTTTTGTGGGGTCAGATGAGAAGTCAAAGCCATAGCCACCTGAAAATAAATCAAGCAAGATGAGTATTTTCCAGAAATTTTCTTAATATCAGAAAAAAGCAAAAAGATAAGAAAAAATTATGGCATTTTGTCATTATTTTGAGTTGACATGATGACTTGATGAGAGTAGAAAATGAATAAATTTCCAAATTTCAACAGATCCACCCCTGACCCTGACCCCCTGAGTGACCTAACGAGCTGACCATAAACAACATATTTTCATGTGCTAAAATGCAACTTAAAAAAATTATTGCCTCAAAATAAAAGTGACGTATAACTGATTATTACTGATGACTTGAGACGAGTTTGCACCTTCGAGTTTCAAAAAAATTTGCAGCACAAAAACTAAACTCACAGATGCATACTACAAATACCATAGATTTTCATTTCTATTTTCTAAGGCTGAAAAATTTACATTTTACAAACAAGCAGCTTTATAAATCTAGTCTAAATATCTGACCATCTGAGTGTCTGAAGGTCTGAGTAGCTATGACCACTGACCAGTCATAACTTACCTACCATGATACGGTACCATCAATATTCAATAACATTGAAGCTGCCACTCAGCACAGTGCCACAGACTGCAAAGTTTAGTTTAGTATCATGATTGACCTCAGAAGTAAGAACTAAGAAAGTACTCAGAGACCAGAGACTCCAGTGGCAGTGGCACTGTCACGGACTCACGGTCAGTCGGACAGTCACTCGGACTCACTGTGGCAGTGAGTCTACTGTCTAGGTAGTCAATGTAAATGAGAGGATAAATCTACTAAATTAAAATTACATTAAGTCCTTACCATTTATCTGGACATCAATGAAGCCTGGAACAAGTAAAGCATTTTTGCAATCAACAACTGTTGTGGGTTTCTTTTTCTCGCAATAAAATACCGGTTCAGGGTCAATAATCTTTCCGTTCCTCACTAGAAGTTGCTGATTTGAAACAATTTTACCATCTAGGAACCTTCTGCAATTACGAAACTGAATAGTTACATCATCGTCTTTACCAGAGGAATTCATTTTAATGTAGAAATGGTCAGATAATTCACCGACTCGAGTTCGAGCTTGCAATCATAGAATACGATTTTAAATGTCACTGTTACTGAATCAGACTCAGTGTCTCAGTGAATGCTAACTACCGTAGCTCTCCGCAGGTGCTGAAGTGTTGTGAAACCGATAAAACCGATTACTTTTGGGATGCATGCCAGAGGCCAGCATTGCCCAAGACCAGCACATTTTTCATCCTCCTTTCCGTGCGTAAGCCTGCTAAAGGGCAGAGTAGACTAAGGGATTATATGTTAAAAAGCCAAAGGTACAAATCTCCTTCATGGAAATTAACCAGCGAGCTAATGAGAAGTAAGCCACCAATACAATCGCTCTACGCCGTATTTAAAACCGTCCAACAGCTCTATGCCATGCCGTCTAACCTCCTCACGATTTTCGGTAAGCAACTCCCTACGCCATACCGCTGTTGATACACAGCCAGCACTCCAGCCCGTCCGTTCGTCGCAGCTGTTTTCCCCCAGCATAACTCTACCTCCACGCTTACCCCGTCTCCCCGCCTTTTTCACCGACTGCCGGACGGCTTTTCTTAGTTTCTGCTCACTTGACTGCATTACGCTATGAAAATAGGATCTATACGAGTTTTAAACTAACTTAACCTAACCTAACCTAATTCGGATAAGCATCAAAGATCTGCGACTACAGCTGCTTAGGTGCCAGATGACAATATCTATAGCATTTAGATGCTTGATGTTGGCTCCAGGGCTGATTTGAGCGTTAATTTGCTGGTCTACGGCTGCGCACCCATTAGGTTGACCCACGAGAAGTTCCGCCTTTAGGTTCAGCTTTCTTGTTACGTCACTGAGATCGAGAAACGTAAACAAGCCCGTCATTCCATAGCGGATTGGTTGACTGATTTGATCGCATTTCGTTGATTGGTTAATGCCCGTGACGTCACTGAGATCAGTGACGTCACAGGCGAACAACAAGCTCCATCCGTGAAAATATGCTTCTCATGGGTCAACCTTTAATTTCGCCCAGTCATCAACCATGGGGACATGAGTCTCCTACCGAAGACCACCACTGCCTTGGATGTAATGGACCATCATGATTCCTGCCTTCCGGAACGTAGCCTTCAACACTTCTGGCCAATACTATCTAGGCCGTTCCTCGAACCAGCCCTCGGTCGAACGGCCACTTGTCGAAGGACAATAAATTTTTGGAACAGAACTATGCTATCTGAAACCTAACCTCAGATGCGGTGTACGTAAAATTACGTAATTTAACGATGCCTGGAAGTCATAGTCGATCCACGGCCTGGTGGTGCACGGCATAATTTATGCAAGGCCGGAGGAGGACAAAGCCGAGTGGTTCACGGGGGGCGCATGCCGGAAGCCAGCTTTGCCAGACTTCACACATATTTCATATTTCTTTTCGCAGGTAAGACAGCTAGAAGGTATAACAGCCTATGAAGTCAAGTGCTCAAAGTCAAGTCAAGTCAAGTGCTCAACGCCGGATGTCCACAGCCACAAAATAAACTTGCTAAAGGTAAGCATGGCCATGCTGCATCTGGTTAAACCTCTTCCGGCCTAACCTCTTCAGGCCTTACCTACACAAGTTGCAACATTTCTCCACACAAAACAAACGCGAGCGGACCTAACCTAACCTTTTTGGCTGCAGGAAGTTAGAAAGGCGGTCCAAGTGAGCTGGTAGAGCCAGTCATTGGCTGCAAGAAGGTCGTGAGCCGGAACAGCGAGAATAGGTTAGGCCAGAGTAGGTACAGCCGGATGAGGAAGTGCTTGCTTATGAGCGAACATGCTTAAGCATTGGCTGAAGACCTATGGCGCTATTATCTTTCGGCAGTGTTTCGCATGTCTGGATTACGGAGTTCAAGCGTAGTCTACGGCTTCTAGTTCTGTGGCAGAGTAAAGTTAATGCATGGTGATGCTGGGCATTGGCTCCAGGGCTTACTTACGAGTAAAATTTGTGGCCAGCGGCTGCGCCCCTGTTCACGGCTGATTGGTGGATTTCCGGAGAGACCCAAGGCGTTCGAATCGGAGTTCTGTTCTGACGGCCGAAGTGGGAGGTGTGCTGTGCTCCCATGACGGAAGCACGCTTCGGCCGGCTGTTGCAGTATCGTTATCGAGTTCTGAAGTGCCCATGAATGCTGTACTGTGCTTCCTCGCTCCGAGGCGTTGAGCCGGCAAAGGAGCTACTTTTTATATCTAGTCCTGACTGGCTTCGCCAGGTGTGCTGTGTAGAACCATTGTGTTCAGCGTTGCAGGGATTTTGAGATGGCCCCATGTGTGGTTAGTGCCCGCGGGTTTATGGTTGATGCCCAGGTGAGTGGTTGGTGCCCCCAGGTCAGTGGTTTGTGCCCCAGGTGAGTGGTTAGTGCCCCCAGGTGAATGGTTGGTGCCCCCAGGTGAGTGGTTAGTGCCTCCAGGTGAGTGGTTAGTACCCCCAGGTGAGTGGTGTCCGGTGATCTTCTATCACCTTCTAGGTTATCATACGTCACCCTCTTATAACATGTTCTGTACCCACATGGTAGAGTCACACTCAGTGACGTCATCCCTGTTAAGGCCTATATATATCTCGATCTGTGCACCACTCGTCAGTCGTAGCGGTACTGCCTAGCCGTCATCTCGCTAGCCGCTCCTCCGGCACATACTTATGCTGTACCTGTCAATCCCCGTCCTTCTGTACTCACCGAGCCAGTTTATTATTATAATAGTTCTAGCGTTAATCGTGTTTCACTTGTCCTACCTTAGTCATACTTGGAACAATAAGTACCCTGACTCTCAGTACAAATCCATCAGGTGGTTGTAGAAACAGACACCTGACAAGTGGTTAGTGCCTCCAGGTGAGTGGTTAGTGCCCCCAGGTGAGTGGTTAGTGCCCCCAGGTGAGTGGATAGTGCCCACAGGTGAGTGGTTAGTGCCCCCAGGTGAGTGGTTAGCGCCCCCAGGTGAGTCGTTAGTACCCCCAAGGAACCTTCCCCTGGAGTGGGACTATCTGCCCTGGAGTGGGGCTTTCTGCCCTGGAGTGGGGCTCTCTGCCCTGGAGTGGGACTCTCTGCCCTGGAGTGGGACTCTCTGCCCTGGAGTGGGACTCTCTGCCCTGGAGTGGGACTCTCTGCCCTGGAGTGGGACTCTCTGCCTTGGTGTGGGACTCTTTACCCCGGTATGGTCTCCACTTTGGCGGCCTCATTCTGTAGTCATTCAGCCGTCCGGAAACTTGGGCAAATCTACAGAACACTTAAATTCGTAGCTGAGAAGAAAATTCCTTAAATTTCTGAAACTGTCCTGTCATGGGGCCGCATTGAACTAGTCTTCAAAGGCTCCCATAAACTTTGATTTAACAAGAGAGAGAGTATGCGTTCGATTCAGGGCTTATTGGCGCACAAAATTGGTGGTGCACGGCTGCGCTCCCGGTTGTGACCCATCAGAAGCCCATTTTTTCGGATGAAGTTCGTTGTTCCCTGTGTTGTCACTGATTTCAGTGACGTCACGGATATTAACCAATCACCGAAATGCGATCAAACCAGTCGTCCAATGCATTATGAGGATGACGGGTTTGTTTGCGTTTCTCGATTTACGTGACGTAACAAGAAAGCTGAACTGAAAGACGGAACTTCTCGTGGGTCAACCTTATATAGTTCAACAATGAGAACCAATCCGTCATGGGAATGATGGGTTTGTTTACGTTTCTCGATGAAGTGTTTGATGAGCAGTGATTGTGAATGGTTGTCCATACACCTTGATCTCGCCTTGAAAACCTTTTTTGCAATCTCTAACCGAAATTAGACTGTGAAATATTTACTAATTATATTTATCCATACGTTTACGTGAGCATTATGAAGGAAACCACGGCTAGTGCAGTGGATTTAATTGATCCGGGAGCCGACCCAACAACTGACCATCTTACGGCATCCCAGTTGCAGCATTTCCTAGAATGGACCCATTTCCTGGAGGACCCGAATTCTGGCGGAGGTAAGAAAAGTGCACTACAGCGGAACTTAGACTGCTCTGAAGATGACATCCACCTGCCGGTGCCGGCCATACATGGTCCTCACCAACCTCCGCCAGTTGGAGCGCAGCCGTGCACCACCAATTTTGTGCACCAATAAGCCCTGAATCGAACGCCTTGGATCTCTCCGGACCTACACCAATCAGCCGTGCACCACTCGGCTTTGTCTTCTTCCGGCCTTGACCACCACCTGCCGCGCACCACGAGGCCGCGGATCGAATATGACTTCCAGGCATCGTTAAATTACGTAATTTTACGTTCACCGCATCTGAGGATAGGTTTCAGATAGCATAGTTCTGTTCCAAAATTTACCGTCCTTCGACAAGTGGCCGTTCAACCGAGGGTTGTTTCGACCCACGGCCTAGAAACGGACAGCTTGAAGTGTTGAAGGCTACGTTCCGGAAGGCAGGAATCATGATGGTCCATTACATCCAGGGCAGTGGTGGTCTTCGGCAGGCGACCCCCGCCAGTTACAGTAAGTGAGCCACTTGGTGTGAAAAGATTCAAGTCCTGCTAAAAGCAGTCGTCAACCGTGACAGGACTCGAACCTGCAATCTTCGGATCCGAAGTCCGACGCCTTATCCAGGTGGAGCAACCTCTGACGATCGGGTGATCTTGGTCCGCCCAGTCGCTGCTGAAGACCGTAAAATACTAACATCCCCAGCCAAACTGTGTAAGTTTATTGAAACACAACCATATGACAAGTTGAACATATTGGATGTTTGTATAAACACGAGATAGCAACTTATTGCTATAGAATTTAAAAACTGCCAATAAGGAGGACATAAGGAGGAGGAGGAGGACATTTGCCAATAAGGAGGCCTTTCTCCCTAGCCTCTTCCAAAGGTGGGGAGTGATGTAGCGCTACATAGAACTAACATACATACCTCGCTACACATACCTCGCTACATAGAAGTGTACATACCTACATAGAAGTGTACATACATACATACTCGCTAGTGTACATACCTCGCTACATAGAACTAATTTTACGTATATCATATCTCACCACGTAGAACTAATTTTTATGTCTCTCATAGAATAGAATAGAAGTGTCGGCGTTGAAGAAATAGGCCCATGGCCTGTTGCCGATTCTTGAGACTTAAAATATCCAGAGCGTTTTTGTATCACGTATAACATGCATGAGCGCGTATAACATTTAACGATTCTAAACACAAAGTAGAAATTTATTATCAACGT